AATTATATATATATATATATAAAAAAAAAAATAGATAAATGAAAAATTCATTATAGCAATCATCTTTGAAAATTAGTTATATATAGTGTGATTAAAAAATTTTAAATTGCTGATTGATTTCCAATATTTATCTTAATTTATTTAAAAATTATAGCCTTTTTAAGAACACGATTTTGAAATTTTCATAAATTAAGAAATTTAATATCTCAAAAAAGTTCATAATTGTGGCATTAAAATTTTCCTTTTATTAAAATATTTCTTCCAAATGTTATACACAAACTGATTCGTACAGCAAATATTTGTTTATTTGAGAAGATTGTCTACGTATATCTGCATAAAAGAAATCCTGCGAAATTTAATTGAAACTTCTTCGACGTATTACGTCGGTAATAACTGAAAGTTCAACATTGCATTAGATGGTGATCCGAACCGTTTCGATCGGAAATCGCAGCTCGCTATCGCCGCGCTCGCTTTCGATCGAGAGGCTGGACATTTCGTTTCTCGATGCAGAGAGCAACACGTCGAGACGATCGGGACGATCGACGCACGCGACTATTCCACCGGGCGGAAAGGAGAAAACTACCCGTGGTATTTTTAGAAAAACGAAGGTGGCACGCTAGTGCTTGAATGTAGGTCGACATATAACGCAGGTCGTTCCGGCGTTTTATTGATTTCCCGCGGACCCAATTCCGGCGTGCACACGCCGCGAACGACTTGCCGTCGTGCGTCGTACGAGATGCACACAAAAGATCACGAGAGATCTTTGCGGCGTGCTTCCCCATTCCTCGACTCTTCTTTTTATCCCATCGATCCTTCAATTAATTTCTCAAACGTGTAAAACTTGCCCGATAAAGGATATTCTACTTGGTCGCACACCACTATATCTTTTATTCTTCTTTCCCTTTAAATTAATCTTTTTCTTTCACATCTCGAAATTTGATGTTAATACATTTGATTTAAGCGTTTTAAATTTTATACTACGAACGATTCAATCGTTTAATCGAGAATCAACATTTCTTTTTCCCGAAACTACAATGTTATAAATTATTTGTATCCTGTAACGAAACTTGAGACTTGTGTTCCAATAATCTTATTCGATATTATCTCTCGGCATTATCTTTTAATACAATATGAAATATGCATGCAAACAGGATGCAAACTTTAACAATTATCGAGAAACTCAATAATACGCAAAGTTTGTACATATAATAAAAACATAAAATTGTCCTGCTTTTAACAATCATTCTTCTCCAGTAAAAAGCAAACGAGTATCATGATCGAAGAGGATACATCTTACAGGAATGAATTAAACAGAAAAAATATATTGCCGAAAAAAAATATGTAAGTAATTTTCAAGTTTTCTTTTTTTTTTTTTAACATTGCTAATTTACGATATGGACATTTAAATGATATATACTTCAACAAATCAATATCAGCTAGATAACACATGGAAAAGTTCAGTTTCATATGCGACATGCATGATTCGGTCAGCTTTAATAGGAGCTTACGTCGTATTCCCCAATCCATCATGACGATCGCCTTGTTCAACTAAATTTCGTGGTCCCTTCGTCGATTATTGCTGCTGCTAAATATTGGTCCTCCTTTTTGTTCCCTTCTTTCGTTGCTCCGTTTTCCCCGCGAAACTTGAGAATCTGCTGGCCCCTCAAGCTGGTCAGGTGAATCTTATCAATTAATTGTCGACGGACGTTAAGATGTATAATCAAATCTCTTCGGCATTAATTCTCATCGAGCTGCTGACGAGATTAAAGTAAATTGGCTCAAATTTATCTTCGACCCTACAACGCTCCTATAACGCTCGATGTTGAATTTATATCCTCGATTGGTACACATCGGACAAAAAAACTAGAAATTTTTGTACGCTTCCTGTATGTTCTTTGATAATTGATAACAGAATTTATAAATCTGTTTAGTTGATGACGAATATCGATGTTACGGATGTAATCGGCATCAGTGATGATACATTTGAGAAAGACGTTCAATGCGTTCATTCAGGTTCGAGTTACAGGATCGCGTTGATAGTCGATGGTCGCTGATGATCACATAAAACCGTCGTTTCGAGTTCTCGCAGTGATACCCCCATGGCACGGATCTCGCCGATATTGACCGTAACGAATTGCGTATTTTCCCTTTCAGATCGCACGATATTTACGGGTCATAACTAGATCGCGCGATTTATAAGAAAGCCATGTTAACGTAAAGTGTTTGCTCAAAATGTCATACCCGGCAATGATAAGTCAATAGTACGTCGTCACGCAATTGATGACGTATTCGCATCGATCTCTCGTCGTTATTCATGCAAACTTAATGTTGCTTATGTAACTTAAAAAAAGAATAGCTTAGTTAAAGTCTTGTAATGCACAAGAACGTGCCGTGATGATCACGCAAGAATTAGTGGTCAGACAGAATCGTTGCTTCGGCATCTCCTGAAAGTATCTCGTAATAGCCACTATTCAATAAAAGTCAAAATCAAGTCAAAATCATTGATCAGATGAGTTGATTGTTCCTGAGTAGGTCGACTTTGTATAATTAGGTGTCACGTGTTATTGGTCAAGAAGACACCTGCGAACTTCGCCAAGGTTTTGCGCAATTTGTACAATTTTTTTATAATGTCTCAGTAACAGATAGGCCAATCGAATTCTTTTGTACCGTTCCAGTTCTAAGTTATGCATGTAATCGATGTAGCTGTTCCGTTCTTTACGTGAATTACACGTCAATATACACGAGATTGTTATACACACCTTTCATGTTTGTGTAATAAATTGAACATTTTCAATTACGTTGGACAGTTGATAATAGCTTAATTAATTAGTAGTAGTCTCGTGCTTGAGATGATCATATCTTATCTCTTCATAAAATTAGACAGAGCGACGAAACCACCATATGCGTACGTACGTACGTACGTGGATTCACTTTCATCGTTAATTTCCCTTGTTGCCAATAGGTCGTTCAGTCACGAGGAATTCGAGTTCGATGACGCTGGTCATTTACGTCTTACGTTTGCGTTGTGTAATTGTATTTACTTCCCCAGTCACGTACGGTTATTTATTCCTTCGCGCGGGTTACGGCGCATTATCACGATCGTGCGAGTGGGTGGTTCCAGTTTCGCTATTCTAAACTGTTTTTCGACACATCGGTGACGAGCTAATCTCGTTCGATGACGCCACGCCTTGGACGCATCATGTCGCATTATGTGCGTGTAATCATAACTATACACCTCTTCGCGCAATTAACGGGGAATTACACGGGTCGTGCGAGTGGGTGGATCCGGTTTTGTCACTCCGAATCTTCAGCCGCGCTTCGACGACGAGTCAGTCCCGCGGCTATTAATATGTTGCATTGTATTTATACATATTGTTGCAAAGAATAACACGTTTTATTTATTCGGCCGAGGCTACAATGGAGACTCACCAGATGCGTGGGCAAGTTACACTTTCATCGCGAGAACCCGATGACGGGATTGAACGATTCCGGGTTCAACATATAAACGTTACTGAATAAACAAAATAATTATGCAACTAATTATAATACATATTATAATTAATAGATTACTGTACAAAGAAGGCAACGCGGCGCTAAATCTTCATATATTTCACACAGAATATATTGGAACAATTTTACAATTCCGTTTCAGGTAAGACGGGCTATTGCTCGACTCGTTGCACGATTTTTGATTCAAACGCCTCAATTATTAGAATCACGGGCAATTATTTCGCCGTGAATGACGATGTCGAAACGAGGGCAGAGACGACGACAAGGCGGCAACGACGGCGCCCGCGCACTGGCGCCGGTACCGACGACATAAGCCAACTGAGGCGACGTTGGTATCGGTTGTTCTCCTTACCACCCTTACGTCCTCCATCGACCATCCTCTATCCTTTAACTCCTCCTCTCCCTCTTCTGTCGCACCTCGCCCTCGTCGAACTTTCGCCCTTATCAGCTGATATTAAAAGATTCTTTTTACGCACAACCCTTATAAATTTAATCTGTACTTTAACGTGATGGTCTTTCTTTCTAGACTTATTTCTCATTGAACTTTCATTCTCATCTCGTGAATTCTGACGTCAACCTTTTTCATTAAATCAATTCATCTATTTTATCCCATTGTCTCTTTTCCAAGAATTCTTTACTCCTTCGTAACTTCTATTATTTTCTTCCATTATTATTTTTTTTTTTTTTTATCGTAGACATGTTCGATTGTCAATTCTTATTTTAAATTAACTATGGTTAGTTTTAAAACTTTTGAATTTAATAAATATAATTGTACTTTATAAAACATTATTATCGATTTATTTTATTTCTTATGTAATATTATTTCTTATGTATATATGTATTCATGCTTTCTCAAAATTTTCTTTTAATTTCATGTAACAATATTTATTATCTAAAATAATTAAAAATTACTTTTTGACTTTTTAAATTTATTTAAATTAAAATTCTATTTAAATACAATTTTTTAAATTTTAATAGAAAGTTAAATTAATAAATTAGCATGCAAAGTTTGCAAATAACTCTTGCTCTCTAAAGAATTAAATTTATGTCATAATGCTTTCAAAAGATTTTAATATAAAAATAAACAGAGCTTATTAAATCACCATTGACATATTATATTATATGGACTTATTATTACAACATTAGTTTGTTACTAAATTAAAAACTATATTGACAGAATGAATATTAAAGAATCCAGAATTTTCTAAATGTTACAAAGATTAATTTTAATATAATCTTATGGAATTAAATTATAAATAAAGAATATATTTGTGAATATTAAATACTTTTAATGGCAGAATTATTTAAATATCGTATTATATCATATTCATTTAATACTTCTATTTTCTTATATTTCCAATATTATATACGCCAATATTATATAAAATTGTTGTTAAAATTACGATTGTGTAGATAAATAAAAATTGATGTAAAAGTAAATTCTTACCTCGTGTGGAAGGATGATTCATTAATATTGCCAAAGGACATTCATCGTCGTCCAATATATATTCCTGGTGCGTATTGCTATTCACGTTTTCACTGTTAACCTACATCATAAAAGAATAGTGATTTGTACAGATATATATCTTAGATATATATCTTTAATAAAAAATATATATCTAATGTTTGCATTCAAAATTTAAACGTATAACGTAAAACTAGATAATTAAATGCAGAAATATATAAAAAATGTTTTCTATTTTTATACAATATTTACTATTGATACAACAAACTAACAAAATATTTTCTGTAATTCCTCCAAGTTTGTATAAAATCTGTTCACTTTTAAAATTATATTGTTTAACAAATCAAAATTTTTTTATAAAATTTTTTTATAATCATTTTTATTATTATTTTTTCAATGTTCAAGAATAAATAAATAATAATTACATTTAGTTCAAGATTAATGATTAAATTCTGAATTGTGAGTCTTGTAAATTAAATCAACATTTTGTCAAAGCAACAAATTTTAAAGAAATCCGTTAAATTTATAATCATACATATAAAACGATATTTTATCCGCAGTAACGATGATCTCGTGTATACCTGCACAAGGCAATATAACTGCGGGTCCACTTTTTCCAAGCCATATTTAGAAAGCATCTCTCGCACGACCTGAGCGGCAGAATCTCGCACACTCAGCAGAAGCGTTTTGTATGGCACGTCCTTGCACAATGCCTCGCCATAAATTTTCAATGTGCCGCCCGTGTCGGGACCGCCGTCTTTACTACGAAATTGCTGGAGCCTCCTCTCAAGCTTCTGTTGACGACGGCGTCTCATTACTGCTTCCGGATTCGAGATACTCCTCGTAAAACTGGTCTCAGGCAATTCTAAAAATAATAATAGCATCATTAATATAGAAAAAGATTTATAATAAAAAAAATATTGTTACATTTCACTTTATCATTTTCATTATAGCATGATTATCGAGTCAAATGAAAGAATTACATCCTACATAAAACAATAAACTATTATTAAATTTCACATTTACTTTGAGAAAAATAAGAGAACACAACATTACAATTAATTACAAGATAACGCAATAATTTTTAACAAATATTTTTCAAAGATTATATTTATGCCATTTATTATTATTTATATATTCATACAAATTATTTCATCATTTTAAAATTTTAGACAAATGAAAGTAATATTCACTTACCCGTATAAAGCTTCTCGGCAACACCGTTCTGATCGCCAGGCGCCGCATTTTCATCTTGTTCCAAGCTCTTCATCCGACTGAGCTTCTCTTGCTTCTTGATCTGTTTCTTCTCCCGCTTGCTCAGCTTTCTTCGAAAGCTTGAACCCTCGGCTGAAGTAAAACCGACGCCTTGCGCATTAGTTTTATCATCAATCCTCTTCAATAAGAAACGTCCCTCGCGATCATCTATATGCCAATTTAGTTGTACTAGCAATGGTTTTTCTTCTAAATCAAGTTTACGCTCTTCTGTAAATAAAATTTCATACAAGCAATATTAATACTTTATGAAAAAATAATATTACTAAGAAATTAAAATTTTAATTAAAGGATAAATCTCTTCAATTTAATAGACATTAATTCATATATAAATAAATACAAATAACATGTTTGATATAATTCAAATAATAGAAATTTGTAATATGTTAAAGTAAAAAATATTAAAGTAAAAAATAAAAAATATGAAAATAAATTAGAGATAAAAAACGCTATTTAAAATTAATATTTAATTTGAAATAGATTTGAGATGAGATACATATTAGAAAAATATAATCTATCTTATAATTTAATATATAATTACATAAAAACTTATGCTAAACGTGCAATTTGAGTTTCAATCATATTAACATTTTTCTTTTGCGATTTATGTAATCTCAACAATTTATCTCTCTCACCTCCATTTTCGTGAATCTCATAGAGAGCGTATTCTGGGACGGATAGCATTCTCATGTCGGGACGAAATTTTTCTATGAGAGTTTCTATTACTGCCTGGCTGGTTGCGTCCGAGGCAACTCTGATGCACTTAGTTGCGACCTTCTGGCCGCTGTCTTGGAAGTAGAACCTCATTACGCCATGAAACTCCAGATCCTATTTAAGGATGAAAAATGCATCTCGAATAAACTTGCGGGAATTAATTCATACGATTTAAATTTAAATTTTGCAAAATTAAAAATTTAGACATATTACGCTACGACACTTACTTCGTTGGGCTCCGAAAGTTCGAACAGGTCCAAGCGATTGGCGTTCCATTGTTGTATGACCCCCTTGAGAGCTTCCCGCTCTGCCTTTTTATTCGCCAGTTCCGTTGCCATCCTGAAAAACACGGCGGACGACGTAATTGCAAGTGACAGTTGTAGAAATTGTAAAACGACGAGCACCGAACGCTTCATCATTTTTCAAGTCGCATAAAACGCGTGATCAAATTTCGCTTTTTATTAAAGAATCGAATAGATAAAAAAGACAAGAAATGTTTCTAAAAAATTCTTGTACGACGTTTCATTGTAGTGCCGTAAAAATAATGTGAATTCTCAAAGAAATACATAATGCCTTCTCTCTCATTCGATGCTTTGATGAAAACAAATTTCCGTCCTAACCGAATAATCACGTACTTCATTCATCATCTTCAAAACCGAGCTCAAATTTTCAAAAGAGAATGCAGAGAATTTTTAAGTGTGAACTTTTCCGAAAAATACGCAATCGCATCGATTGCTTTGTGACCCCCATGACCATGCCAAGAAGGCAAGGCCTTCTTCTGAGCGCGGAACTGTTCGCAAAGCTGGCATCACCAGGTCTGTGTTGTGATACCCCGAGATAATTTATCACAAGCAGACGTAGAGTGCGAGGCGTCTGTTCGGTGCGCCAGACCGCCCGGAGTATCGCGTGTTTGGTATATGTTATGATTCTCGCTATGCAACACGAACGTCCGATGCATGGCAAATGTAACGTGAAACAATTCCTCTTGGAATGCGCACCATGTTCGAGGAAAACGGAATGTACCATTTGACGTTTACAAAGCCGCGTAATTTACGAATTTGAATTTTCGCTCGATGTTAAAGCTAATCAAGCAAGGCTAATCACTCATCTAACATTAATCATCGTTAAATCTCTACTAAATTATTCTCGCTTGATCGATTTTGACTTTAGTTCATTAACTAAGATTGTGTAACTTTATTAACTAGCTGAGGTCAAAGTTCTCGTCAAGGTTGGCCGCGGCGATGTTAATTAACTTAAATCTTAACTAATCGAGAGACCGCACGTCCGAGCCTCAGAGTTTCCGGACAACGAGACAATCTTCCTCGAGAGACAGTCACGTGCCACGCATTCCTAACGTCCCTCCCCATCTCTCTCTCTCTCT